TTTTTCATATGATTTTTGTGGTACAAAAGAAAATCATATGTTACAAAAAATACACCCCTGATAAAAATTCTTAAGGTTATGATAAACCCTTGTCAAAATTTTGTACCGTGTAAATTAAAACCTCTATTTATAGTAGGGAAATTTCTAGAAGTAATTCCATTTTAAAAAAATATACTTGCATATGCAGTAAAACTTTTCTGGGTTAGCCTGAAATTATTTGGGTTACTCTGAAAGTTCCCTTGAAATTTTGGGTAGTAATTTATTTTATCGAACTTCTAGAACAAATAGCTTACCCAATCATATTTGATTTTTTTTCTTTTTTTATTAACGTTTACTTTAGAAAAATTTACTTTTGTGTAAGTAGGCTATAGATTCAACAAATAGAACATTGTTTTTTTTCAACAGTTTTTTGTTTCTGCTATTGATTTCATTTTACTTTGGAGTTATTCTATAGAATGGTTGCTAAATAGAGCCAAGCCAGAGGAAATTAATTGCCAATCTAACCAAACCACAACGTAGTTGAAGTTTCTCTTAAAACAACACCTTTGGTTTTGGTAACAGTAATTTGGGTCTTGGTTTCATCATAATGTAAATAGTACTATACAAAAATATAGTTAAAGTTTGGGTTAAGGTTAGGGTTAGAAATGGTTCATAGGTTTATTTCTTTTAGTTTTTCTTTGTTGTTAGCTTTCATTTGATATTCTTTTGTTGGCATTTACTTTTTGGTAGTATTTGGTTTTGGTATTACCGTATTCCTCCGAAAATAAGCACCCCCGAATATAAGCTCCCCCAAATTATGTAATACCTGAAAATAAGCACCCCCAATTTTTTATAAGCACGAATGAGCATACACTTGAATTAACCACAAATACACTATAATACTATTTTTTCGAATTCTCAGTTTTGATTTTGAAATGTTTCATTGCTTTGATTTAGAAGCAATGGCTTTATTTTTTGGTCAGCCCATACTATGGTAATAATGTTGATTCAATCAGTTTTTTTTTAATCTAAATACAGTAAAATCTGGACGCGAGTACATGAAGCGACAAGATACTATTTATATGTACATGTGATGTAAACATACACGTGTTTTTTAATTTTTTACTATGTGAAAAATTGCATCATGCGTCCAGATTTTAAGGTAATCATACATAATTGAACAGGTTTAATCATCGTTGATTGAAGTGAAATAATACAATAAAAGACAATTATAAAGGACAATCAAATGACTATCACGATAAGCACGATAGCTATATTGACTTCTAGTATAGCAGGAGTGATCAAGTTTTTGTTTTTTGTATCCAAATTGTTTAATTATTTGTGAAGTACCTGAAAATAAGCACCCTATAGCAAAAAGGGGTGCTTATTTTTGGAGGAATACGGTAATTGTTTCTTAATAAAAACTTCAATAAACAAATTTAAAAAAAATTTTTTTTATTAATGAAACTTGCATTTTGCACAATGAATTTTTGAAAATATTATAATGATAGTTCCCCGATTACTATATCTCACAGGAGGATTAATTAATAATACTCTACTATATATAATTAAGCAGAAACATAGTTTCTGCTAAGGGCAGTGTCATTAATCACCTGATTATTTTTTATCAGATGCCTACCTCCCTCCCTCTTCCTTAATATATAAATAGTCAGATTCTTATATATAATTTTAACTTTTTTTACCCCCCTCCCCCCCTAAAAAATCACCTGATTTTTGTTACTCCCCTAATGATCAATTAATTTTGATTAAGTGAGTATTATCTTGATTACTAGCATTTACATCGAGAAACAAATTATTTAAATTAAAAACTAGTCATAATACTGTATATATTGTTATAAGAAATTTTGAGCTCTATTATTTTTATTTTTAACTAGTTTTTTATTTTTATTAAAAAATTTATTTTATTACAATAAAATAATAACTAGCATTACTATTAAATTACATATAAAAATTATTAATTCTTTAGAATATTTATGCCATTTAGCTACTATAGCATATTAACTAGATAAAACTTTCTAAATACTATACTAGCTACTAGGTAGTTCAATTAGTCTTTCACCTTTATAACAGAATTTCTTCTGGCTTCATTCTATTTTAAGTATAGTCTACTATACTTCAGGTTCTGTACTACAGGACTGTTCTAAAGAATAAACTCCAACAAAAGAAAGGCAGTAAAGCAGAAAATAAAAAATAACTTGAAAAACAGTTAAATAAAGCAAAAAAAAAACTAAAAGAAACAACGTACCAATTACAGAATTTATACCCAGCCAAAGGTGCTATTCAAAGTGATTTGCACATCAAAGCTACCACGAGCCTTCACCAGAGCTTTCTTTGGCTTCACTCTATTTAGTATAGTTCGCCATTTCAGATTCCACCAAGAGCCATTCTAAAAAAACTTTAATAAAAGTTAATTACTAAAAAAAAAATGGCAAAGCTAAAAGAAACAATATATCATTTGTTGGATCTATAGCCTACTCAACTAAAGAAGTCTTCCTAAATTAAATGCTAGTGATATGACAAAAGAAAAAAAAGCTTAGAAAGAGTACAAAAAAAAATCAATAGTACAAAAAAAAAGTTATATGTATCCTAGAAAATTCTAGATGGGTTTGATTTCCACATGCATTATACAAAAACATTACTATCAATTTCATATTTGAAATAATCGACATACCCTCTACCGTTAAATTTGTAATTATTGCATATTAATGTTATAATAGTTTTGTTATAATTAGTAATTAATCTATTACTATAAACTAATAATAATTAGTTGTCATTTATTTATATATATATTTTTTTTTTAAAAAATTGACTTTCGTTTGTTATACACAATTTTGTAATTTGAGATTTAAAAAATCAACTTCTGTTTGTTATTCACACTTTGTATCTTTTGAAATTAGATTAAGACATGGACAATGTTAATTAGTGAGTTACTAACAGTAAATCATTAATTTCAACATGAACTAACTCAACTCTAATGACATATTGTGATTATTAGAATAACAAGCAAGTTTTGTATGAGAATTTTTTGCAGTAATTCTTGATAAAAGCCACAATAATTTCATTTCAAAATCAACTTTAAAATGTATTATATGCTAAGTAAGTTTGTAACAGAATTTTTTTATAGTAATTTACGATAGAAATTGTGATAATTCTAATATATACTAATTTACCTTTTCATAATTATTGTAAGAGTTGTAGGCATCAGATAACTACTAACAACACTTCTATCTAATCAAACTAATGCCTTTTAATCGTGTAAGACTCTTGAACCTTAAATTGGTAGACAAAAATGGTATAGTTGATTTGGTCTGGGTCTCAGGGTTCTTTTAGGGTCTTTATGCAGTGTGGTCAAATAAAGATAAGTATTTCTGGGATTTTCTATGAATAGTTCTTCTGTTAGTAGTTCAAATATTATTTTCCATTTATATAATTCTTCCTCTTTATTCTAGTTGCAAAGGATGAAAGGCTCTAATGTAATACTTATAATCGTCATATAATCAAGGACGAAATTTAGATGATGCAGATGATTATATAACAATGAAACAGATTAATTGTTCGATAAATCAGATAATTAAAGGTTTAGTCAATTTATGTTTTTATAAAAGGTAATTAATTTGATCTTTCTTACTTTAACAAGGTTATACTAAACAAAATTCAAGACGTGGGTTATGAAGTCAAAACTAGTAATATTAATTTACTTAAAATAATGAATACTCTACAAGTAAAAGGTAAATTAATAAGTAATTTATTATGAGAATTTTGGGTTAAAGGGAAACTTTCTCAGAGCTAACACTTCTACTTTTATTCCGATACAGATTAATTCAACCCTAACTGAATACAGTAATAGTAAAAAAATTCTGTAAAAAAATTCTTTGCTATAATTCATAATAAAATCATGATAATTCATTGCAAATCATAAATAACCCTTAACTACATAATTAATATCAAGTAAGATTGTAACAGAATTTTTTTGATTTTGTACTATTTGTTTTGTCTTCATAAGACAAATCAAATAGCACCAAAATAATGTAATTCTGATAATAGTTCACGAGTTAATTAATTTTTGGAAGAATTTTTTAAGACTTATAATAATTTGATAATTGCAATGTAAACCAACTCAAAATAAATTATCTGATGTGATTGCTAAAATAGCGAAAAAGTTTTTTTTAATAATTTTTTATAGTAATTCATAAAAAAATTTTTAATAATGTGAATGCAGATGAACTCAACCTTAATCATATCAGTGTTTCAGATGAAACTCAAATTTGCAGAGCAAAACTGGTTCAGAGGTTTTGGACTTATAGGACGAAACTAAAATTCTTCAGTGCGAACCATTTTGAATTTGAAAATTAGTTTTGTCTAAAACACCAAATCATAGAGAAACCATGATAATTTGATGCAAACTAACTCATCCACATACTGTGGTTACTACAATAGTAAGTTCTTAGTTTTTTATAAGAACTAAATATAAATTAGAATAATTTCAATTTCTAATTTAGAATGAATTATATAGAAGTTCCAATAATTCAAATACAAATTGATTTAACCTTAATCAAAATAGAGTATCATTGAAAGAGTAAGTTCTATAACAGAATTTTTATAATAGTAATCACAATAATTTGAATACAAACCAACTTAACTGCATACTGAAATATCAAGTAAGGTTTGTAGAAAATTTTTTGTAGTAATCTGCAATTGCGATGATTTTACAAAAAGCTAAACTAATTCAATCTTAACAAAACAGATATCAAAGAAATTCATAATAATAATGCCTCAAGTCATTGGGCATTAGTGGATTGATCCTTGACAGTAGTAATGGAAATATATGTCTAATGCTGATTGGCTGCATAAGCAGCCGATCAGTATCAGCCATGATTTCCGTTATTATTGTCAAGGATCAATCCACTAATACAAGTGACACAAGATATTAAATAATCAAATATCTTATATTTTTTCTTTTAAAACATTATAGCACTATTGAAATATTTGTGAGACCCTGGGTCGGATAGCGTAGTGGCTAGCGCTCCAGAGTTGCCCTCGCAAGGTCACTGGTTCGAGTCTAGTGGATGACAAAAACTGTGTTGGGACCACAAGTGTCAAGGATCTGTAATGAGGAACCGCACTTTTTTCTATTTCCAGACAAGGTACTATAGCGATAACAGAGTTGCGTGACATAGCCACATACATCACGAAATATTTTAAGCAGATATATATCGATTTATAACGTATAATCGATTTATATCGATTAAAATTAAACGTTATATATCGATTAACTTGTTATAAATCGATATATGGGGGAGCCCACAGCAAAAGGATGCTTCGGGTCAACCAATCAAATTTTGAGATTTTATAGAATAGCTAAATAGCAAATGAATATTTTTATAAAAACAATGTTTAATAGTTAAATCTATTAATAAAAAAGTACATAATTTTGTCTAATTATTTTGATACTATTATATAGATGATAATCATATACCAATTTTGGACATGATTTTCTCAAAATCATGTGATTGTTCCGAAGCATCCTTTTGCTATGGGTTCCCCCATATATCAAAAATCAATTAATAACAAAAAATAGGCAAGTAATCGATATAAATCAATTATTGATTATCATCGAACTAA